CTCAGGCGCCCATTACCTTCTTATTTTCTTGCACAACAAATTATTCCAGTTTCACCCACTACATCATGGAGCCATAGGTCCTTTTGGTGGAGAATGGTATTTAAAAAGCAAAGGCGGAGTGTTAGGTGTGTTCATAGCTACTGGGGTACTGTTGGATTTAGACCCTCTCAGTGGATAGAACTAGGAAACTTATCAACATATATACACACTTATACCTATACTTATATTTTTCTGTCTTTTTATCTATGTAAATTAAAAATCATTTCATACCATCTCCTCTAATTTCAAGCCACATCACTAGGTTTACTCTAATCTTCCTTCTTTTTATACGGGTAATTCCCTTCTCCAACAGTGAGAAAACTGCCTATCTATATCCTTAATATATTTATTTGTTTGCTCAATTCCTGGTATGTAAACCCATCTGCTAGACATGGTGGCAAAAAGTATGGCCTGTCTCTAGGAAGTTAGCTATTTTTATCATTTTATATATATATATATATATAAATTATATTTATAATATAAATGTATGTTTTTATTAAAATTATATATAAATTATATACATTATAAAATATATAGTATATATATGTCTATGTGTATGTTATATATATAAATATATATGTAATTAAATATTTCATATGAAACTGAATATAACGAAATAAAATATTTTCCATATGTATATAAGAAATTATATATCACATGTTAGAAAGCCCATATAATACATAAAATATATCCATATAAGTAAATATATATAAGATATCTGATTTTGTATATATGTTTTTCGCCTAGATTTACTGAGATGTTACTGATATCTTGATATCAGTAACATCTGATATCTAGACTTGAAGTTCAAGGTGTAGTGTGTGATTATTTGATACATGTATATATTGCAAAGTGATTACCACAATAAAGTTAGTTAACACTTCCATCCCCTCACATAATTACCACTTTCTGTGTGCATGACAATTAAAACTTATTCTGTTAACAACTTTCAAGTATCATACAATATTGTTAATTATGGTCACCATGCTGTACATTAGATCCCTAGATCTAATAACTAGGTTTATACTCTTTGATCAACTAATTAGATCTAATAACCAGGTGTATGCCCTTTGATCAACATCTTCTCATTTCTCGCATCCCCCGGCAACTACCATTCTACTCTGTATTTTTGTGAGTTCAACTTTTTTAGATTCCACAGTGAGTTCATACAGTATGTGTCTTTCTCTGATTTATCTCACTTAGCATAGTGCCCTCAAGGTCCACCCATATTGTTGCAAGTAGCAGGATTTCCTTCTTTTTTGTATGGCTAATAATGGCTATTTCTGTGAAAAATGCCATTGGAATTTTGATAATAATTTTGATAATAATAAATGTACGTGTGTGTGTGTACATGCGCACGTACGATCCATTCACGTGTCCATGGACACTCAGGTTGTTTCCATGTCTTGGCTATTGTAGATAATGCTGCAATGAACGTGGGGATGCATATATCTTTGAGTTAGTATTTTCACTTTTTTTGGGTATATATCCAGAAGTGGAATTGCTGGATCATGTGGTAGTTCTATTTTTAAGTTTTTGGGGAAACTCCGTACTGTTTTCCATAGTGACTGTACCAATTTACATTCCCATCAACAGTGCTCAAGGGTTCCCTTTTCTCTACTTCCTTGCAAATACTTGTCATTCGTCGTTTTGAAAATACCATTCTAACAGGTGTGAAGTGATATCTCATTGTGGTTTTAATTTGCATTTCCTTAAAATTAGTGATTAGTGATGTTGAACATATTTTCATGTACCTGTTGGCCATCTGTATGTCTTCTTTGGAAAACTGTCTATTCGAGTTCTTTGCCTGTTTTTTAACTTTTCTATTGAGTTATATGAGTTCTTATACATTTTGGATATTAACTCCTCCTCAGCTAGATGGTTGGAAAATATTTTCTCCCCATTCCATAAGTTGCCTTTTCATTTTGCTGTTTCCTTTGCCATGCAGAAGCTATTTAGTTTGATGTAGTCCCACCTGTTTATTTTTACTTTTGTTACTTGTGTTTTTGGAGTCATATCCAAAGAATTATTGCCAAGACCAATGGGAAAGAGATTTTCCTGTTTTTTTTGTTTTTTGTTTTTTGTGTTTTTTTGCCAGTAGCTTTACCATTTTGGGTCTTACATTTAAGTCTTTAATCCATTTGGAGTTAATTTTTGTAAGTTGTATAAGATAGGGGTCCATTTTCATTCTTTTGCATGTGACTATCCAGCTTTCCTAATATACATTATTGAAGACACTATCCTTTCCCCACTGAATATTCTTGGCTCCCTTGTCAAACAGTCATTGACTGTATATGAGTGGGCTTATTTCTGGGCTCTGCATTGGCCTACTTGTCTGTTTTGATGCTAACACCATGCTGTTTTGGTTACTGTAGCTTTTGTGAAATCAGGTTGCATGATGCCTCTGGCTTTACTCTTCTTGCTCTTTACTGTTTTGACTAATTGGGGTCTTTTATGATACCATATACGTCTTAGGATTCTTTCCTTCTGTGAAAAATGCCACTGGAATTTTGACAGAAATTATGTTGAATCTGTAAATGGCTTTGGATAGTATAAATATTTTTACAATATTAATTCTTTCAATCCACGAACCTGGGATATCTGTCCATTTATTTGTGTCTTCTTCAGCTTCTTTCCTCAATGCCTTGCAGTTGTCAGTATGTGAATCTTTCACCTCCTTGGTTTATCCCAAAGCATTTTATTATTTTTGATGCTACTGTAGCCAGGGAAATACACAGTAAGGCCTTTCTTCAGATGCACCTGGAGCTCACTGCTCGTACTTCCACATGGTTGTTCCCTCATGCCTGACCCTCAAGAAGCGGCTGGTCTCAAAAATGCAGAGCTCCCCAAGGAGGAAGAGCCCCAATCACCACCCATCTCTCAGTAAGCAGCCTATTCTCCAAGTGTTACAAACAGCTGCAGCCAGCTCCACAAAGATGCTTAAGCCAAATGCTAAACCTGGGGAAAGAAAAATTTTATATTTCAATTTTAATAAGTGAAATAACCGGGACATCAATTGAAATTACATTTTACTCACTAGGTTAAGTGTGGTTTCCTTAGGTTGCAGGTTTTCTTCCAGGTTTTGGTGGCACCACTTCCGTGACTTAGCCCAAGGTAATATATATATCTGCTCTGCTTGTGTTACTGTCCCCATTAGACAGAAGGGCCTGAGGCCAGGGACTTATTTCATCGATTTCTAGTGCTTACGGGGGGGTCTAACACAGGGCAGGTGCTAATTGCTGTTTACTGGATTAAAGAATAATATATCCATTAATCAGTATAGATGGTGGGAAAGGAGCTGTATGTTGGGAAGGAGACTTTAAATTTCAACCTCTGGACCCACGTGAATGAAGATAGCCCAGGTCATCCATCCTTAGAAACCTTTCATTTCAAGTTTCTGTTTTTCTGGTAACACAATACAATTCAAGAATAAATCCTGAATTTTTTCTTGATATTGGTTACATTGATATTGCACACCAATCCCGTGGTTACCATCCAGCACCAACAATCTTGTTCTGTTTTCACCTGCACCTTCCTGAGTTTTTAACTAAATATCCAAATTTCAAAGATCCCACGTTAAAGGATGTCTTCAGTTCAAATTACCCTTTCTCATTTTCTGTCTTCATCTTTTTTCTTTTTTCCCCGAGAATATTTGCAGAGTTTTTCTTAAAAATTCTTTTGTGGTGTTCCAGATGCGAATGATCATAAAACATTCCAAATACAGCATGTTGTGTAAATGTTGAATCGATCGATAAAAATGACGAGGTTAGTAACAATATCCCTGACGATCGCGGAGGCCTGTTTTAATTTAGAGGGCGCCAGCCACACGTCAGGATTCAAAGCTACCGGGCAAACCACTCCGGACCTGGAATCCCTTAGGCAACCCTGACGCCACTGAACTTTCCAGACGCGGCCAGCTCTCGGGACTGACAAAAGGAGACTCGGCATCGCTGAGCCAGTCTGCCCGTTTTCTCCGCGGCAGCTAAAGTGCCAGGAATTTCTAGGCTTTACCTTCCCGGAGCAAATCACAATCACAGTCGGCACCGTTGGCGGCGCTGGGAGCAGGTGAGCGGGGCGGCGGCGCCGGGGAGACGCGCGCAGGTGCCTCGGCCCCTCCCGGCCTCCGCCCCGGCCCCGCCCCGGCCCCGGC